AGAGCAATGAAAGTTCTTTTTGATTATAAAAACTGAATCTTAAGGAGCTTTTCTGGATTTCAGAAAAATTCTTGAAACTTGGCGCCATTTTATACACCCCAACCCAATATACGGCCGTTGGATCATCGGATTGGCGGAATGTGTTAAAAAAGGGAATTTGTTGACGCAGGCAAGGCAAAACTAAGTTCAAAATGGTACCTGGTCTATCTGACCTGTTTTTTGACAGTACAAGCCTGGTCAAGACAGACTAGTTCCTGTCTTATTTGGCTTCTGATGGGCCTGGTTATAAACCTAGTCAAACCAGTCCACCAGAAGGCCTAGACCTGACTTCTGATCTTTATACCTAGAATAAAATGAAAATCTTGAAGCTATTCAGAAAGAGCTATCTGGTAGTTGAAAAGTCTTACGCCTTGAAGCTCAGTAGAAACGCCAATCCACGAAGCCATGCCGATAATGAAAGCACACTTGGCCGGGAATGAAAACACTGGAAACGCGATGATCGCTCCACCGAAATCGAAAACGATACAACAGAGCTGAAGCTTTGAAAGGGAACTTTGGTGTGCCAGAAAGAGCACAAAGTACACCATAAAGTTCAAGGTTTACTTTGTGCTGAAATTGGAAACGCTTTTCCTTGTGCACTCAATTCTCCAATTTCTAACAACAACAGCTCGCTATCATCAGAAAAGTAGATAATTTAGTGCGCTAGAAGGGATGTGCTTCCAATTTTGAGCACAAACTACACAGCTTACCTGATAGCCCAGCAAATAGTACACATAATAGTTGAGTCTTTTCGGAGTGGCCATATAAATTGTCCATAAACCAAAAAGATTAAAAAGTGAACAAGGAACTAGAAGCTATTATGAAAATCGAATTTTCAGTTTTACTTGCACAAATCGAAACCCAAATATGTAAAGCATTGAAATACGTTATATTTACGATCATATTTTGAAGATTTTTGAAAATCCTTTTGATTAAAAAGTTTTCAATTTCATTTAAAATCAATTTCCAGAATTTCACCTGCACCATTTTTCTCAAGGTCGAAATGGAATCATTTTTGATCTCACTGTTTTAATCTTTTTGAAAATTGATACAAATCAAGTGTAGTTTGAATTGTTTTTATTGTATTTTGTGCTCAAAACATTCATTCTAGTGAACTAAATTTAATGATTATCGTTTGCTCAAAAAGAAAAAATGATTTGCATTCGGGGGGAATCGAACCCCCGTCGAATGCTTGAGGGCTGAGATGGGAAGCTGAAAAGGATGGATAACCGGTTTCCGGTTCCGTTTCCAGATTACCTTAAGCACCTCAGCCTTGTTATCCCCCAATTCATCCCCGAAAATCACGCGTTCGTGGTGTAATGGTTAGCATGGATGCCTTCCAAGCATTCGACGGGGGTTCGATTCCCCCCGAACGCAAATTTTTTTTTTGCGTTCGTTTGCGTTTGTTCTAAAGGATGAATTCTAAAGCTTTCCATTGATGAAACCTGAATCCAAGCAAAATTTGAAAAATCAAAAATTCGGGAATCGAACCCCCGTCGAATGATCGGAAGGCATCCATGCTAACCATTACACCACGAACGCTTGTTTTTGGGGGATGAATTACGATCTAAAGAGCTTCCTTAAGGCAATCTGCAAACCGGATTTGTTTCTTTTCGTCAATCGAAGATCTTTTTGACCTTCCCATTTCATCCCTGCAAACATGAGGCAAGATTACGGTAAAAAAAAAGAGAAAAACGGGTCTAGAAAACGATATAATCAGTACTAAGATCAATATCTGATCAGTAATCCGTACCTTTTCGGTCAATCAATCCCATTTTCTCGATTTCCAATCCAATTCCATGTTTTCTGTGTATATTCTGAATACAAATGAGCTCTTTTCTTGACCGTAGCTTCTTTAATAAAAAAATTACACCAGCTCTCACACTTTTCTAATACTATAAAGCTTTATTTTTAATATTAACTTTGAAATTTAAAACTTTATTCATAAATTTATTGGTTAAGTTGATCAGGTTCAGTTCAAGTTATTGATCAAGTTCAGAACAAGATCAAGATCAAGATCAAGTTATTGATCAATTTCTATAGATGAGCTATTTGAAAGCTGAACTCAAAATAGGAAAATGGAGTCGTTTGTGAAATGAAAACTTGAATTTCATTTAAAATTTGATTATATTATTGAACAATTATTAGTTGAGACAAGCTCGAAAGCCTAATGCATTCAAAAAATATACAATGAATAAATGAAAATTTTAAAAAATCGCGACCTAAAGACAATGTTCTCGTCCAAGACTTCTGGGATATTGAAAAATTTGTCAATTTCTCTTTAAACGCAAGATTTTTTGTTGAAAATTTAACATTTAACTTCAAATTGAACTGTAAAATTGCACTAAAATTTGAGCCATCTCAAACTTTCATAATTAATTCATAGTTGGATTTATAGAAAGAGCGAAAAATTTGAAAATTACCCAATTATGATCAGTTATGTAAAAAGATAAAACTTAAGTTCAGAAAATTCAAACAAATATCAAAAAAAAGTAAATTTAACAGAATTTACAAGTTTCCATGCGAAAGGGTAACTTTGGCTAGAATGAAAGAAAATGAACTTATTGGAAAACGAGGAGGAGTCTTTTGAAAGCGATTCAGATCGGAGAATTGAGTTAGGAAGAAAAAGATTTTCGTCTAAGCCGTTGATCTTATAAAAATCACCAGGGACTCCGGATCTGGTGATTATTCGGCACGATCGAGTAGACAAAAGTTGACCCGTTAATCGTTCGATGCTCTTGTAGGAACTCATGAAGCATCACATGACGCATATGTTCCGGTGGCAGATTGTCGAGTGCAATAGAAGTGCACAGTGCAGGCTTGGCAGCTGCTAATATTAAAAAGATATATGGGGAGGACTCACCATCCGAAAGAACGTATGGTCTACCTAGTTTCGATCTCGGAACAAATCTTTGAAAGATGCAGAGGGCCGTGGAGCGGCACCCCAACTGGATGATTCCAAATTACTCGAACTCATTACCAATGACCATCGGGTATCATCGCGTGAATTGGGAGAAGAGTTAGGGATTGATCATGTTACGGTGCTAAATCACCTTCATACCCTTGGATTTAAATCGAAACTTGAGACTTGGGTGCCCCATGACCTCACTGACCCCCAGAAGTGGCAGCGCGCCTCCATCAGTGCCGCTCATATCTCACGATCAAAGATCGTTCTCTTCCACGACAACGCGCGCCCTCATGTTGCAAAACTGACACGCTCTAAAAGAAACAGCCTTGGTTGGGAACTTTTGACACATCCCCCATACAGTCCGGACCTTGTCCCTTCTGATTACTATTTATTACGGACCATGAGTAATGAGCTTGCGGGAGAACACTTCGATTCGGAAGAAGCACTCAAAAATCGGCTCCAAAAGTTTTTCGATTCAAAACCAAAAATCCTACTACGAGAGAGGAATCCACAAATTGCCTGTAAAATGGGCAGAAGTCGCCAATAATAATGGAAATTGTTTGGAATGAATTTATGGTTTTATGTTGAATAAATTTTAGTTCAAAGTCCGGCAGTTTTCAATGCACCAACTCAATAGCTATCCCTTTTTTTAAATCTTCAATTTTGGGAAGCTAACTCTATTTTGATCACACTAAACTTATCCCTAAAGTGACCCGATTCCTTTTTTGGTCACTCGCATTTCGCCCTCGAAATTTCTTCAATGGTTCGATCAATTGAAACACGTTTTAGCCTATTTTGTAGAGGAGATTTACAACTTTCGAATAGTTTATAACATTCATCGATATCAGGTTTCTATCGTTGGAAATTTTTGAAAATGTTGAAATCCGCATTTCTTATGCATGTACCTAATAGAAAAAGAGAGGTAAACCAGTGTAAACTCTAATGCCAAAAGATTCGATTTTCTTAAAAACATCTTTGAAACTCAAAAGTTTCAATTTTAAATTTATCGGAAGGGGGGTTTACGCTATCTACTATCAAATCTCCAGACAGACCAGATGCGTTTAAGTAAAGAACGAAAGAGAAGAACCACCATAAGTTGGTGGCCGGTTTCCCCCTCCATCAGACTTGTCCCCGAATAACCTCTTCCGAATGCCTACTCGCCTCACTGAACTTATGGTTCTCGATGAGAAAGCTGCCATCACTTTCCTCTTCAAACCTCATATCAACAACTCGCTGGCCACCCAAATTATTCATTTAATTGGGCGAACCATGCACAAAACTTCATCAACCCATCCAACCCGGCGTGGAACACCCAAAGGATCAATGTGGCGACCCTTCAAAGATGAGGCAACGGACCGGGACACACATTGTGTAAGTGGCCTCGGAGGGAGTGTGGCGTCTCAACTTGGCACCCCATGTGGACCCGTTCGATGCAATTCTGGAGAACATCAAGGTTTATTGGCCACTACTCCCGCAGGATCAATTGCCTTTCACCAATAAGCCCATGTTTGAGTGTAATAAACTGTTTTTGTAGAATCACTCAGAAAAGAAGTGAAACAACAAAACAAATTTACTGAGTCTAAATAAGAAAAATCCCTTTTCCCTCCGATAAATCCTCTTCAATTAACTTGAAATTTCATATAAATATGAATCGGATAATTGGGCGTCAAGTTACGCTCGAAAAACCGAATTTCGATAATTGTGCCCAACTCTGGATACAGAGTGGCCGACGAAATTGGGCGCCAGACTTTTGACTCGTAGATGATGCCGGATCTTTGTCTATGTTGTATCTTTTTGCTGATTTTCTTGCCGCTATTAAGCGAGAAATGATGGATGAGATAGATTGTGCCCCTAAACGTGCTAAACAAAAGATTGCATTTCGATATGAATTCTTTTTCGTTTCTATTCTAACAGTTCTGGAGAAAAGAATTTTGGCGAAAAACTATAAAATCAAAGCATCAAACACCAAATAATACTTTTGTTTTTACAAAAGAAAAATTTTTACTTTGAAAGAAGTGAACCAAATCTATCCAATTTTTTTTTAGATTTTCAGATGTCCCCACATTCACCTGCCGACACTGTGAGTGTAGAGAAAGAAGAGGAAAACTTTCGACAACTTACAAAACAATGAAAATGTATGCCCCTACAATTGATGAGAAGAAATTGCTAAACTTTATCTATTCTATAGCTGGAACGGTTGACCTGATCATTTGTCCATTCACCATTTTCCTGCTTCTTTTACCTGTTCCCTCGTATCTGAAGGTGTTTCGGAGGATTCAGTTCGCTATTGTGGTGAGTGGGAAATGTGAAGCGATAATGGGTCTTCAAATCAGTTAAATCCTTCAACTTTTTCAGATGAATGCCTTTCTTTTCGCGTCAACTTTCTTCATCCTTCGCCCAGTGCTTACCATGCCATTGGTACTTTACTCAATTTCCGGATGGAATCTCAGTCAGGAAGCGATTCTTTTTCTATTCGTATGTTCAAAAATATTCAAAATTTTCATTTAATTTGTTACTCTCATGACTTAGTCAATTTATACCCAGCCAAGAAATTGCCTGAACCGAGAATTCTATCTCGCCTTACATCTTGCGTGAATGGCTCTGTCTGTACTTATTATTGACCTAGCTTGCTTAGTCTAAACTGTGCTGACTCATTCAGTCCATCTTTCACACTCACTTTCAGGTGGCAGCGACAACAAGTGGAGTTTTCTCCGGGGTTTTCCTCTTTGTCGCCTATTTTCATCGCGCCGTCGTTTTGGCCCCTTTTCCACAGAAAAGACCACTCACAATCTATTACACAGTTTTTCTTAAAAAATCTCAAAACTTCGATTGTCTTTAGATTCTCACAGTCAGTTTTTGCTTGGCTGGGCTTTTAGCGATCGGGTATTTTATTTGGGATTTCTTAGTCCTATCTCGCTATCTCGACAATTCGGAGGTGAAAGACTTTTATATCATTTAGCTAATAAAACATTTTAGTTCCAAGCAATCAAAAGCTTCAGCGCCGTCATTTTCTTGAGTGGCGGTTCATTTAGAATTATATTTTATGGGATCACAGCGCCGGTTTTCTGGCTATTATGGTTGGTTAGACTAGATAAAACAGTAAAGTTAGCAGATAGAAAAGAAAAACAATTCATATCGAAATGCAATCTTTTGTTTAGCACGTTTATGGGCACAATTTATCTCATTCATCGTTTCTCGCTTAATCGCGACAAGAAAATCAGCAAAAAGACGCAACAACGACAGAATCAACTTTTCCGGCTCACACTTATTCAGGTTCAAACCACTGGAAAATGTTGCTAGCTTTTGCGCTTCACTTTGAAAGTTTTCAAACTGTACAGCTTTAGGCTGCAATCCTCGGCGCAACTCTCATCGGTCCAGCTGTGATCATAATTTTCGCGATGGCTGAATGGTTTCCCGTGGCCGATATTTGTAAGTTCTGGCTCAACATAAGATCTCGACTATGTTAACTCATCTTTAGTCCTCTTCTACGGTTTCGTTCCACTCACTCTTCAGTCACCGTGCAATTGCGTGGCGCTACTCTGTACTTCGCACTACAGGAAAATTTTGTACCGCTGGCTTACGGTAATTTAAAAGAAAATTACTAAAAATCATAGGAAAAAAATTACTTTTTCAGGCTAGATTTTGAAGTTTTAGATAAATTCTCAAAATCTAATCGCAAAAAATTCAGGATGGGAAAAAGCCGTTGAATCGAGTGACGACTTTTTGGCGGAATGATGGTCGAAATCCGAGTATCATCGTTGAGGCAGCGAGTAGTTCGAGGAGAATAAGCAGCAAATCGGATATTGGAAATCGATAAATGATTTATAAAAGATGAAATCTATTTCCGCATTGCGAATCAGGGACAACCCAACCGGGTTGTACAGGGTGCGGCGGGATTATTGCAACCGCCTCAGGGCATCGATTAGACTTTCGTACTATGAGATCCTATTCTAAACATTTTCTGAAAACTTACAAAGATCAGGAATCGTGATCATTTTAGTGGCTGTAGCTAGAATGAGGGCACAGGCAGGGATGACGATTGTGAGAGCAAAAATCAAGACGGGTTGTGTCATTGCAAAAAAACCTCGAACCTTAACGTTTTCACTGTGTCAGTGAGAACAAAAAGAATGTTTTCAAAGAAACCATTCATTGGACTTAAAAAAAAGCCCAAAAAATATGTAATAATTACAAAGTTTTCTTTATTTAGCAAAAAAAAATTGTTAAAGTATGATGTTCAGTGCTCGTTCATGGCAGAAAGGCTTTTCGAAGCTCACATTTTGTCAGCATAAAACTGATTTGCGGTGTTCAATTTATGAGAAAAGCTGGTTTACAAATGATTTATTGGTTTATGC